GAAATGCCAAAACCTTTGTCAAAATCTCCCAGGGCATGAAGGACAGAGGCCATAACAGGGACCCGAAGCAGTGCCGCGTGAAACTGAAGGAGCTGAGGCAAGCCTACCAGAAGACCAGAGAGGCGAACGGCCGCTCCGGGTCAGAGCCCCAAACATGCCACTTCTATGATGAGCTGCATGCCATTTTAGGGGGTTCAGCCACCACTACCCCAGCCGTGTTGTTTGACTCCTTCAATGGAGATGGAGGCAACACGGAAGCAGGTTTTGGGGACGAAGAAGATGATGATGAGGTTGTAGATAGCTCACAGCAAGCAAGCGGAGAAACCGGTTTTCCCAACAGCCAGGAACTGTTTCTCACCCTGGACCTGGAGCCAGTACCCCCCGAACCCACCCAAGGCTGCCTCCCGGACCCGGCAGGCAGAGAAGGGACCTCCAGTGAGTGTTCCTTTTAAAATACTACACATGGTTTAAAAGCAAGCATGTGAAAGGATTAATTTGCCCTGGCATTTGTGGCTCTCCTGGATATACTCCCAAAGCCTTTGCAAAAGGTTTCTGGGGAGGGCAGCCTTATTGCGTCCTTCATGGTAGGACACTTTACCACTCCAGGCCAGTAACACGTACTTGGAAATCATTGTACAACAAAGCATTGCAGTGTATGTTTGCTGGCGTTCAAACAACATCCGTTCTTTATCTCTCTGTGTTATCCTCAGGAGAGTGAGATATAATTCATGGTCACCTGGTTGAAATAGAGTGCTTTTCTTCAGGGGACACTCAGAGGAGACCATTCCTGCTGGTCTGTTTGCCTGTGGCTAAACAGAAATGTTCCCCGCTGTTAGCCACAGGGAGGGGGGAGGGTTGAGGGGGTAGCCACGCAGTGGGGGGAGGCAAAATGCAACCTTGTAACGAAAGCACATGTGCTATGTATGTAATGTTAACAGCAAGGTTTACCCTGAAAGAGTGTAGCCACTGTTTTATAAAACGTGTCTTTTTAAATACTGCTGTCCCTTTTTTTCTCCATCAGCTGCATGTGTTTCAATGATCACAGGATCTTCTCCTTCCCAGAGGCTAGTGAAGCTTAGAAAGAAAAAAAAAAACGCACTCGAGATGAAATGTTCTCCGAGCTCATGCTGTCCTCCCACACTGACAGAGCACAGACGAATGCGTGGAGGCAAATAATGTCAGAGTGCAGGAAAGCACAAAATGACTGGGAGGAGAGGTGGCGGGCTGAAGAGAGTAAGTGGCAGGCTGAAGACAGGGCTGAAGCTCAAATGTGGTGGCAGCGTGATGAGAGGAGGCAGGATTCAATGCTGAGGCTGCTGGAGGACCAAACCGGTATGCTCCAGTGTATGGTTGAGCTGCAGCAAAGGCAGCTGGAGCACAGACTGCCACTACAGCCCCTGTGTAACCAACCGCCCTCCTCCCCAGGTTCCATAGCCTCCACACCCAGACGCCCAAGAACGCGGTGGGGGGGCCACCAGCCAACCAGCCACTCCGCCACACAGGATTGCCCAAAAAAAAGAAGGCTGGCATTCAATAAATTTTAAAGTTGTAAACTTTTAAAGTGCTTTGTGGCATTTTCCTTCCCTCCTCTACCACCCCTCCTGGGCTACCTTGGTAGTCATCCCCCTATTTGTGTGATGAATGAATAACGAATGCATGAATGTGAAGCAACAATGACTTTATTGCCTCTGCAAGCGGTGATCGAAGGGAGGAGGGGAGGGTGGTTAGCTCACAGGGAAGTAGAGTGAACCAAGGGGCGGGGGGGTTCATCAAGGAGAAACAAACAGAACTTTCACACCGTAGCCTGGCCAGTCATGAAACTAGTTTTCAAAGCTTCTCTGATGCGTACTGCACCCTCCTGTGCTCTTCTAACCGCCCTGGTGTCTGGCTGCGCGTAACCAGCAGCCAGGCGATTTGCCTCAACCTCCCACCCCAGCATAAACGTCTCCCCCTTACTCTCACAGATACTGTGGAGCACACAGCAAGCAGTAATAACAGTGGGAATATTGGTTTCGCTGAGGTCTAAGTGAGTCAGTAAACTGCGCCAGGCGCCTTTAAACGTCCAAATGCACATTCTACCACCATTCTGCACTTGCTCAGCCTGTAGTTGAACAGCTCCTGACTACTGTCCAGGCTGCCTGTGTACGGACTCATGAGCCAGGGCATTAAGGGGTAGGCTGGGTCCCCAAGGATACATATAGGCATTTCAACATCCCCAACAGTTATTTTTTGGTCTGGGAATAAAGTCCCTTCCTGCAGCTTTTGAAACAGACCAGAGTTCCTGAAGATGCGAGCGTCATGTACCTTTCCCGGCCATCCCACGTTGATGTTGGTGAAACGTCCCTTGTGATCCACCAGAGCTTGCAGCACTATTGAAAAGTACTCCTTGCAGTCTATGTACTCGGCGGCTTGGTGCTCCAGTGCCAAGATAGGGATATGGGTTCCGTCTATTGTCCCACCACCGTTAGGGAATCCCATTGCAGCAAAGCCATCCACTATGACCTGCACATTTCCCAGGGTCACTACCCTTGATATCAGCAGATCTTTGATTGCGTGGGCTACTTGCATCACAGCAGCCCCAACAGTAGATTTGCCCACTCCAAATTGATTCCCAACTGACCGGTAGCTGTCTGGCGTTGCAAGCTTCCACAGGGCTATCGCCACTCGCTTCTCAACTATGAGGGCTGCTCTCATCTTGGTATTCATGCGTCTCAGGGCAGGGGAAAGCAAGTCACAAAGTTCCATGAAAATGCCCTCACGCATGCGAAATTTTCGCAGCCACTGGGAATCATCCCAGACCCGCAACACTATGCGGTCCCACCAGTCTGTGCTTGTTTCCCGAGCCCAGAATCGGCGTTCCACAGCATGAACCTGCCCCATTAGCGCCATGATGCATGCATTGGCAGGGCCCATGTTTTCAGAGAAATCTGTGTCCATGTCCTGATCACTCACGTGCCTGCGCTGACGTCGCCTCCTCGCCCGGTATCGCTTTGCCAGGTTCTGGTGCTGCATATACTGCTGGATTATGCGTGTGGTGTTTAATGTGCTCCTAATTGCCAAAGTGAGCTGAGCGGCCTCCATGCTTGCCTTGGTATGGCGTCCGCACAGAAAAAAGGCGCGGAACGATTGTCTGCTGTTGCTCTGACGGAGGGAGGGGCGACTGACGACACGGCTTACAGGGTTGGCTTCAGGGAGCTAAAATCAACAAAGGGGGTGGCTTTACATCAAGGAGTATTTCAGGCAGGACTTCACGGAGGGTTCCAATAAGAAATGGTGCACCTAAGTTATTGTTCTTATTGGAACAAGGAGGTTAGCCTGGCCTCTGATTGATACATGGCTAGATTTACCTCGCTGCACCTTCTCTGTGAGTGACTGCAGTGTGACCTAGAGGAATGAGTCCCCTAGACGGGGGAGGAGGCAAATGAGTACAAAACATATCTGGTCTGTTTCTTGTTTTGATCCACTCCATCTATCTTTTACATCTTTGGCTGGCAGCAGACGGTGCAGAAGGACTGCATGCCATCCTCATCTCTTGCCTGCCCGGCAGAAGATGGTACAGTACGACTGCTAGCCATCCTCATCACTTGCCTGCCCGGCAGAAGATGGTACAGTACGACTGCTAGCAATCCGTATTGCCTGCCTGCTCACCATAAGACGGTTCAATAGGACTGATGGCAGGACTAAAGAGAATGACCTGGTCAAGTCACTCCAAATTTAGTCCCTGCGCCCATGTCTGCCCAGGCGCTCCCAGCCGATGAGGCCAGGAGCACCTCAGACACGACGAGGATGGCTACCAGTCGTACTGCACCGTCTGCTGCCAGAAGGCAATGGGTTGCTGCTACTGTGTAGCAATGCCGTACCGCGTCTGCCAGCACCCAGGAGACATACGGTGACGGTTACCTGAGCAGGCTCCATGCTTGCCGTGGTATGGCGTCTGCACAGGTAACTCAGGAAAAAAGGCGCGAAATGATTGTCTGCCCTTGCTTTCACGGAGGGAGGGAGGGAGGGAATGGAGGCCTGACGATATGTACCCAGAACCACCCGTGACAATGTTTTAGCCCCATCAGGCATTGGGATCTCAATCCAGAATTCCAATGGGCAGCGGAGACTGCGGGAACTGTGGGATAGCTACCCACAGTGCAACGCTCTGGAAGTCGACACTTGCCTCGGTACTGTGGAAGCACTCCACACTTAATGCACTTAGAGCATTTTCTGTGGGGACACACACACTCGAATATATAAAACCGATTTCTAAAAAACCGACTTCTATAAATTCGACCTTATTCCGTAGTGTAGACATACCCTAAGTGTTAAGGCAAAATATTTGCATATTTGGTTGGAAAGGCAGTCTTGTCTAGATCAAATGTAGGACAGGGAGCCAGAAATTCATGGGTTCTAGTTGTGGAGCTAGGGTCATATTCACAGATTGCACTAAACCCCAAACCCATCCTGGTTTGTAATGGAGTCAAGATACTAGTTGGGTCTTCTGCACAAGCCGTCATGACGCGCACACACTTTATTAAAAGTGCTTACATGGTCCTGGATATAGAGTATATGACTGTCTCAATCTTTAACATATTTATCCTCACTCCTGCAGCATAGGACATGCTATTATTCTCGTTTTACAGATATGGAACTGAGGCACAAAGGCTTGCACAAGGTCACACAGGAAGTCTGGTGGAGCAGCACATGGAATCCCGCTCTAGTGATTCCCAGCCTAGCATCCTAACCACTGAACCATCCTTCCTCACTACTGATGAAATATGTTGAAACTGTGTACTGAGTCTGTCTGTGGTGTGTCTTTCCTATGGATTAACAAAGTTTTTAAAGTCTCTCAAAGGCTGTCAATCTCGTGGCTTTCACACAAGAGGAATTCGCTTTTTAGAACTTATTTTAAAAAGGCTAGAATTAGCTCACCTAAACAGCTGTTTTCCCCCTAAAAGTTTGCTCAATACATTCCCTTAAAAGTTGTCTAACCTTTTTATTTTTATCTCTTCTAGAACACTTTAAGTGGGATAATTACTTGAAAGAGACTGGATCGCTAGCTGCTCCTCCACATTGTTTCAGACAGGTACACTAAATTCTTTTGTGTGTGTGTGTGTGTGTTAAGGGCCCCAATAGCAAGCTTTATATTAAGGGTGTCTACGGCTTCCCTTTGTAATCCCCTGTTCTCATTTGCTTATAACTTTGGCAAACCTTAACCATTTAAGCTGAAGTTTTCTGTGCTTGGTCTCTGCCGCAAGTCAAATTTTCTTTGAAAGGTTGATCAAAAATATTGCAGCTGTCTTTCAAGAACAAGGCTAGTGGAAAAATAAGGAATCCTGTCAATGCTTAAAATTTTTACAACTCTCTTTTGAACAGCTTTAGCATGTCTCTCCATGGTTTAGAGCAAGAATTTGAAATGTGGCTGAGGATCTGAGTGTAGTGCCTTTTGCCACCCTTTGCCCAAATTCCTCATTTGCCCATCTATAGTAGAACGTATTTAGCACTTGTCCCTTAATTTTCTGAACCTTCCAACTGCACTGTGCTGGCTTCCAGCACTCCGAGTCTCCAGCATCATTCTCAAGTAGCCATACAGAATTGAACCTCTGAACAGGAGACAAACAGCCTGGTGGCTGCTGCAGCTTTTCCCCCAACAGACTTAACAAGCGTTGGTATAAGAACATAGCAACCAATATAAATTATTAAAATAACTAACTGAAATCTTTTGCAAAAAGAAAAGGAGTACTTGTGGCACCTTAGAGACTAACCAATTTATTTGAGCATAAGCTTTCGTGAGCTACAGCTCACTTCATCAGATGCATACTGTGGAAACTGCAGAAGACATTATATACACAGAGACCATAGAACAATACCTTCTCCCACCCCGCTCTCCTGCTGGTAATAGCTTATCTAAAGTGATCACTCTGCTTATAATGTGTATGATAATCAAGCTGGGCCATTTCCAGCACATATCCAGGTTTTCTCACCCTCCCCCCCCCCCCCCAACTCACTCTCCTGCTGGTAATAGCCCATCAAAAGTGACCACTCTCTTTACAATGTGTATGATAATCAAGGTGGGCCATTTCCAGCACAAATCCAGGTCCCCCTCCCCCCCCAAAAAAAAGACACACACACACGAACTCACTCTCCTGCTGGTAATAGCTTATCCAAAGTGACCACTCTCCCTACAATGTGCATGACAATCAAGGTAGGCCATTTCCAGCACAAATCCAGGTTTTCTCACCACCACCACCCCCACACACACACAGAAACTCACTCTCCTGTTGGCAATAGCTCATCCAGACTGACCACTCTCCTTACAATGTGTATGATAATCAAGGTGGGCCATTTCCAGCATAAATCCAAGTTTAACCAGAACGTCGGGGGGGTTTTGTGTGTAGGAAAAAACAAGAGGAAATAGGCTACCTTGCATAATGACTTAGCCACTCCCAGTCTCTGGGGGTCTCCCATTCTGGGAGTGGCTATGTCATTATGCAAGGTAGCCTATTTCCCCTTGTTTTTTCCTACACACACAACCCCCCCCTACGTTCTGGTTAAACTTGGATTTATGCTGGAAATGGCCCACCTTGATTATCATACACATTGTAAGGAGAGTGATCACTTTAGATAAGCTATTACCAGCAGGAGAGTGGGGTGGGAGAAGGTATTGTTTCATGGTCTCTGTGTATATAATGTCTTCTGCAGTTTCCACAGTATGCATCCGATGAAGTGAGCTGTAGTTCACGAAAGCTTATAGATATTGCTCAAATAAATTGGTTAGTCTCTAAGGTGCCACAAGTACTCCTTTTCTTTTTGCGAATACAGACTAACACGGCTGTTACTCTGAAACCTGAAATCTTTTGTTTTGTTTTTGTACCCTTAAGAACTGTCTCTAAGAAATTTAATTAAAATTGCATTACAGGAAGTTTGAGAATTTTGTTGTACATATCTCAATTAAACATTGCAACAACACATAAGTGTATCCGTTCTGATTACTGGAAAGGGTCATGCCAATCTTGTATTTTGGAAATTAAGCCCATATTGAAGTGTCATAAAAGGTAATCAATAAAACATATCATGGAGTTGTCTCTCTTGCTTTTTTTGTTGGGGAGAAAATAATTTTATCCATCCTTCCAATGTTAAAGTTTCAGAAATGTTTCCAGTGAGAGAACTCAGGCTTTGATGTATTCTAATTTTTGCTGTGTTTATTTCTTTGGAGTTCAACGGTGTTTTAATGCTCTTGCTCATCTGTCAGCTTAAGCTCAGCCTATGAGGCCACTGAAGTCCAAGGCATGCCATTCTCATTTCCCTCTTTCTTCTCCCAGACAGCTTGTTCACAGCTCAGAGTATTAAAGTAAGTAAATGGATATTAAGCCTTTATACAGTATCCTTTGGCCTCTCAGGACCAAACTCTTACCTCTCGTTAAGGATTTCACAGCCGTCCTTCCTGTGGCTGTGCCAGGGCTCAAACCAGTTTACTCGCTCACCAGGAGGCAGGAAAGGGCAGAGTTCAGAGTCCCTGTCCAAAATCTGGGCCTACTGTAGGGAGAATGGGCTCTGCACATCTATTCTCCTCACAGAAGTGTGAAATGACCTTTTATCTTAATGAGATGTTCTGAATAAGAACACCTTGTGGAGATGAATAGGGCCTGAAACAATAGCTATGAGATATGTGACCAGCTCCATGTCAGTAGGTGTGCTCAAATCCCCCAGTGTCTCCCCCCCCAGCCATAGTGCTTGTGAGCGTATGCCATGCATGAAACATGCCTGTTCTCAACTCCTCACCCCGTCTCAGCACTGTGTGCTTGGTGCATGCTCCGAGCATGGCTGTTTTCAGCTCCATTCCAGAGAGCAGGCTCCCCAGATCCCAGCTCACACAGAAGGGGGCATGGAGAAGGGCTCAGGGACCCCCCCCCCATGAGAGGTACGACTCCCCCGGTGATATCTCATGGGGGCAGAGGGAGAAGAGATAGATAGCATTCAGGCTGAAAGGAGAGAGATGTCAGCAACCATTCTCACATCTGCGTAGATCACAGCTCGCTGCTCCAGGCCAATGGGGGCTGTGGGAAGCGGCGCGGGCCGAGGAATGTGCTGGTCGCCCTTTCCGCAGCCCCCATTGGCCTGACGCAGCGAACCACGGCCAGTGGGAGCTGTGCTCGGCCGAACCTGCGGATGCGGCAGGTAAACAAACCGGCCCGGCCCTCCAGGGGCTTTCCCTGAACAAGCGGCGGACTGGCTTTGAGAACCACTGGCGTAGAGCATGTGTGAATTCTTCTTTGAGTAGTGTCCCTATGGGTGCTCTACTGTAGGTGTGCTTGAACTCCTGCGTTGCTGACTGGAGAACTTTGATAGTAGTCAGGTTTCAGAGTAACAGCCGTGTTAGTCTGTATTCGCAAAAAGAAAAGGAGTACTTGTGGCACCTTAGAGACTAACCAATTTATTTGAGCATGAGCTTTTGTGAGTTACATCTGATGAAGTGAGCTGTAGCTCACGAAAGCTCATGCTCAAATAAATTGGTTAGTCTCTAAGGTGCCACAAGTACTCCTTTTCTTTTTGATAGTAGTGTCTCTTAGGCCTGCGCATGTGCTGTCTTCCCTCATGCTGCACCATGAGGCTAGCCTGTGCTCATAGGCTAACCCCCCTCAGTTCCTTCTCAACTGCCCCTGGCTAAAGACAGAGCTACTTGCAGTCCATTAGGATCATGCTCTAGTCGCATTTATATAGTTGTTTTGTTGGTATACTGTAGTTGTAAGTCGTTCTTTACTCTTTCATTTTATCCACTAAAAAATAAAAACAAAATCCACAAACTTTATTTTCCTACTTTTCTCCCTGCTGGGGACCCTTCCCCGCAGCAGGCATGCCTGGTTCAGCAGGCTTTAAGAAGTGCCTCGCTCACAAAGAGGCAATTCTGATTGCAGACAAGCACTCCCACGGCATTCGCTGCCTCAGGGAGGGCCGCATCTAGCAAAAGTGTGGTCTTTGTCAGCAACTCTGGCCACATTCCTGTAAGGACAGAGAGCTCAGGCAGAAGATCATCTTCATGGAGGCAGCTCTCAGACCCTCGCAGGACCTACGCTGCGAGTCCGCAGGTGGACATGAGTCTTCCCCACAGCCCTATACATCTAATGGCTGTGGATCGAAGAAACAGACTGCTGATGCCCTCATAAGTTATCTAAGAGGAGAGTGGGAAGACTCCAAAAGGAGCCTCCAGATAGCTGTAAGTGATCTCCATCTCACTCAGTATCTTTGGCACTGTCGGCACCGAGACCCTCACAGTCTGGTACCCTTAGCCCATGGAAACTGTCAGCAGTTAGTACTGTTGACATGCCCCTGGACCCAAAGGGCACGGGCACTGAGTCATCAGCACTGTGTATTCCGCTATAAAGGTACTACTAGTCCGTGAATCATCATCAGTACCAACATTGACACCACCTCCAGCAACGGAGCGGCCAGTACAGACAAGATCCCTGCCCCACCCCACCCCATACCAACACCGGGGCGATCAGTACTGGCAGAATTCTTCCATTCCAGTGACCTCTGTATACCGGAAGTACTGGGGTCTCCGCTTCTCGATACCAGGACCTCTGCACCAAGTCTTTGCTTGGCATGGGAATTGTCACCACTGCCATGCCACACTCCCCCAGGGGTTGGCAGCACCACATTGCGCAACGGACACTTGACAAAATTAACATACTTAGTGATGGACATTGTGGGGGGTTATGTCATTCAGTCATTCAATTTTTTGAAAAATTACCACGGACCTCAAAATTTTTCCCACGGACACGATGCTGACCCCTGCACTCTCCTACTCTCTAGCAAGAGTTCAGACAGCAAGCCAGAGGAAGAGACGACATAGTACTCCTTTCATGCTCCATATGGTGCTCAATACTAACAAGGCACATACAAGCAGATGGCCCCACAATCATAATTGTGGTACAGCCACCCGTGGATACCGCTGCCGGGCTCTTGCTGCTGCTGCCGCCACCCTGATGCCTCCATTCACACTCTGAAGGATTCCAGGGCTACTTTCTGGTCGTTGGGTAGCTGCATGCCGGGACAAAAGAGATCATTTAGTTCCCAGTCCCAACA